CGGTGCCGTTCTCCTCGCTCAGGCCCTGCAGCAGCAGGTTGCTCTGGTGCGCCAGGATGTTGCGCTCCTTCTTCTGCTCGCCCGCTTCTTTCCTGCAACCGCCAAACGTTTGTTGGGTTTGGTTGGGGCAACGTGCTCCTGCATTACCTGAGCTGGACGATGTCGTTGCGTTGGGCGTTGCGCACCTCGCGCAGCTCCTCCAGCTCTTTGCGCATCAGGTCGGAGACGCGGAGAAGTTGGGCGTGGTCGTGGCGCAGCGTGGCCAGCGCGGCTTCCAGCCGCGCCCGGTCCTGCTGGGCGGCCTCCAGCTCCTGGAAAAGGGGCGGCTAGAGCAGGGCGCCGGGCAAAGGGGGGCGGGGTACCTCGCACAGCTTGGCGTTCTGCTCCAGCGTCTGGAACTCGGTCTGGCGCACGCCGTCCAGCTCGGTCTGCAGCTCGGCCACCTCAGCGCTCAGCTGCTTGATCGTCTTGTTCAGATTGTCGATGTCAGCGTCGCCGCCGGCGTCCACGCCCTCGTCGACGGCGTCCTGATCGGGCGGCAGCATCAGCGTGCGGCGGCGCAGCTGCCGGTTCTCCTTGTACCATTGGGTGGCGTCCTTCAGCGCCCTGCAGCCAATGAGGGCGGCCGTCACCCAATCCACTCGAAACTCCATCACTGTCACACTCACCTGGACATCGCACCTGTTTCAGTCTCGTACTGGTGCTTCAGCGTCTCGTACTCCTTGTACAGGTTCTTGGAGGCGGTCGACAGCCGCGTGAACTCCTCATTCTTCTCGAACAGTTCGGTCTCCAGTTGCTCGTGGCGCTCCTGGAGCTGCAGGTGGCGCCGCTCCACCTCCTGCAGGCTGCGCAGCGCTGCAAATCGCCCACCCTCAGCAGCAGTTCGGTGCGCCGCAGGCCCTTACCCTTCTCCTTGTCGCTCAGCAGCAGCTTGCGCCGCTCCTCGCTTTCCTCCAGCTTCTGCTTCCAGCGGTGCGTGGCATCGCTGCACGCCGTGCTCGATGTGGAGCCCTGCCGGCTCAAAGGCCTGCGCAGCGGGATGCTGGACTGGCGGNCCGCCACTGTGTGCCGCCGGTTTTGGCTCATTTGGCCCTGAATGGGGCGCAGTCGCCATCAGTCAAGAATGGACGTGTTTGTTTAGAGCGCCGTTGCCGCATGTTGGTACTGCTAGGCGCCCGGGGGCGCTCAAGGGCCGCCCCATAAGGGCGGCCGGGGCGCCCCAACCGGCAGGCAACGCGGGTACTTACCAGGTGGGGTTTGATGGGTGAAAGTGGCGCGTTCGACTCGACGCGGCAGCGCTGCAGGAACCGTCCAAGTGCTTCGCCTGACGTCGCGGTACTGCCGATCGGCACCCGAACCGCCGATAAAGACGAGTGACTGACTCACCGCCGAGCGGCAACCCCGCCCTCGGACTGCTCTGGACGCTGCCGCAGGCGCCCCCAACTGCCACTTGTGCGCCAGACAGAGACAACGCGCGCACTTGCTTTAAGTGACTGAGCGAGAGAAACTGCCAAAGTTAGGTGATCCTGCTGCTCTATAAAGTCGGAAAATTGTAATTGCCAAAAAAACCGCCAGGTGGTGGTTGAAACTCTAGTAGTCAAATTGCTTTTGACATCCAGTGCTGACACAGTTTTTTGGAGGTTAGCAACAACAACAATAATCTGGACGGAATGGCGCTGCAGGGCGCCCTGGCGCAGTACCAGGCCAGCATGGGGCTGCCGGCCGAGCTGCGGGCTGCGCCCCTTGCCCTAGTGGGGTTCAGCGGGCTGGACCTGGTCAACAACGCGATCCACAAGGCGATCTGGGACACGTTCCACAACCGCAGCGAGCGGGGCGCCGTCCTCTACCAGAGCATCAGCAACACGCACAAGTTCCCGGTGCTGAAGCCGCGCCGCAACACCTACGACTGGTACATCCCCAAAGGCATCCTGAAGCGCAATTGGCTGGCGAAGCACCTGCAGCAGGTGCCCGCCCTCATCGCCGTCTTCTTCGACCTGGACTGGAAGGAGCCGCAGTGGACGGAGAAGATGATCGAGTGCGCCTCCAAGGTGCAGTCCATGAGGTAGGGGCGGGTGGGGCTCGGCGGTTGGGGGACTGGACGTTTTGATTGGTTGGCAGGGCGGCGCTTGAGGGGCGCGACACCTGCATAGTGGTGGTGCTGATCCAGAGCCAGGCCCCCATGCCGGAGGACCCGCTGGCGGCCGAGCGCGCCGTTGCGCTCTGTTCCAGCTGCGAGCTGAACTCGCAGTCGCTCTATGTGCTGCCGCACGGCCAGCACCTATCGGTAAGCATTTGCGCTCGAAGGATCCGCCCCTATCGGTTTCGCTCTTTCAGGGCTACGCCACCCGGCTGGAGAACGCCTTTCTGGAACTGTGCCAGGCCTACTACCACAGCTGCGTGCGCAGCATCAAGCAGCACAAGGAGCATCTGAACAAAAACGCCCACCAGAGCCTCTACGTGCGGCACCAGTTCAAAATGGGCGTGCTCAGCGAGCTGCGCCAGGACATCAGCGCCGCCCACAAGTACACGCCCCCCCCAGTCCACGCCCCCTGCCCGCACTCACGCCCCCTGTTGCAGGCACTACACGCTGGCCTACAGCAATCTGCAGGAGATTCGCGTGGTCGACACCAATGCGCTGGAGGTCCGCACCGTTGCCGGCTTTCTCAACTACAAAATTTGCCGGCTGCTGTTCGCGCTCAATCTGCCGCGCGACGCCATTGGCCAGTTCAAGGCGCACATCGACCGGTTCCGCGCCCGCATTGGCTTCAGCGAGCTGGTGTTCGAGCACTGGGCGTGGCTCAGCAAGCAGTACGAGATATTTGGCGACACCTTCGACGAGGCGGTCAAGCTCGGCCTGCCCGCCGTCCAGACTCAACACCCGGGCATCTACTATCAGCAGGCGGCAACGCTGGCGGTGGCCCGCAAGGGGGCGTGTCTGGAACTGTGCGCCGTAAGACCGCCCACTGCGCCCCCATTGGCCTGCGCGAGTAACTCCGGTTTTTTGTGTAGAGGGCGCTGGCCTATCCGCATCCCGATCCGCTTGAGGGGGCGGAGTCGATGGAGTTCTACGGGCAACGCCCCTGGCGGCCCGGGAAGGTGGCGGCGGAGCCGCCCGAGCCTCAATGGGAGTCCAGCGGCATCCAGGCCATCCAGTACCTGGAAAGCCAGATCAACCACTCGGTGAGACAGACAGGGCTGGGGGAGTTTTGAGGTTAAGTGAGCGGTTTTAGGGCGTGATCATTTCGCTGTACGGGCTGGCCATTGCGCAGTACAAGATCTACAAGTGTCCGCGCACGCGGCGCCATCTAGTGCTCCAAATGGCGGACGAGTGCTTCAGCGCGCAGGACTACGGCAAGGCTCTGACGTAAGTAGCCGCCCCCCTGGTAGGGCTTCTGAGCGGTACTAACGCAGGGGCTGCGCAGCCTCTACACGCACATGCTGGCCGACTATCGGGCCGAGCAGTGGTGGGGCGTGATCTCCAGCATCCTGGAAAAGGCGGCGCTGTGCGCCTACTTGACCGCCAACGTGGAGGACTACCTGCAGTTGGCCTTGGAAATTCTGGCCGCCCCAGTCCTGCTCAGCCTGGACGACAAGCGCCGGTTCTACGAGAACTTCAATCGGGTGCTGAAGGTAGTTGGCGCCGGGATTTGCCGGGAAAATTGTCGAAAAATTGGCGTTTTGCAGCGGCAGGTGCCCTTCGGGGACCCCAAGTTGGCGCACGAGGCGCTCCAGACGGCCATCATCCAGTGGCAGCCGGTGCTGGGCGGGGCGGCGCTCAGCCCCGCCCTCGACATCGCGCAGGCGTGCCTGGATGTCAAGTGGCGCTTCGCCAGCCCCGCCTTTCCGGTGGACCAAGCCGCGCAGCTCGTCCTGTTTATCCGGTAGGCTGCGCCCCTTGAGGCTCGTTTTTTTGGTGATGGGGCGTGGTTTCAGGAGCACCTGCCCTTTTCCGCTGGGCGCTACGCGCGTTGCTGTGCAAGTGGCAACGGCGCGCGCCAGCTGGGACTTGGACGTGTGTCAAGCGGTGACGTTCCAGCGCGACGCCATCCAGCGCTTCACTGTGGAAGTGCAAGCGGAAGTGGCCGACATTGGCTGCGAGCTGCTGGTTGAGGGCGTGACGGTGTTCATGGGCGTGGCCGGGCAGAGCGAGGTCAGCTTGCGCTTCCGCCCCCCAGAGGGGGCGGACGAGCGGCCGGAGTTGAGCCACTTCCGCCGCAGCCGGCCCGTAGGCCATTTCGACGCCATGCAGAGCGTGTCCAGGGCGCTGGTGGTGCCGCGCGACTCCCACCTGGGCGTGCGCTTCGAGCACGCGCCCCCCGCCCTAGTGGGCGAGGTCTACGACATCGCCATAGTGATAGCCAATGAGGAGGCGTGCGCCATCAGCGAGCTCCGCCTCCTGGTGTCGGCCGAGGCCGCCGTGGAGTTCAGCAGCGACGCCTCGATGCGGCCGGAAAAAACGCCGCTCGCGCTGCCGCTGCCCCCCACTCTGGAGCCGGGGGGCGTGGCCACCGCCCGCCTCTGGCTGCGCGCCAGCCAGCCCGACATCAAGGCCGTCGCAGTGCGCATCAGCTACAGCCTGACGGGCGAGCGTCCTGTTGTGTGCGTCATGAACGACAGCGTCACCCTGCCGATCGTCCAGCCGTTTGAAGTGAGCGCGCAGTATTTGTCCGGGATGATGCAGCGCGTGAGCAAGTTCTACGCAGGCGAGCGCTTTGCGGTGATGCCGTTGGTGCGCTTCCTCTCGCCCTGGCCAATCAGCGTCGAGGGCACCGCCCTCGAGTTTGTAAGTCGTGCCCGCTCAAGTGGGCTGAAGTGGAGTTGAGTGGTGTTGATGTTGCAGACGCATCCGGTGAGGGCGCTGGAGGACGCCCAGAGCCACCTGGCGGGCAGCGTCTTTAACCAGGACGAGGTGGGGACCGAGGTGGTGTTGGCGGTGTGCGACCGCCAAGCCGACCAGAACCTGGTGGTGGGCGAGTATGCGGTGACGTGGCAACGGTGGGTGGGGCCAAAGTGGGCGGTTGAGATTGCGACTGAGCTGTCATTTGCAGGGCCAATGGCAGGCCGACAACGACGCAGGTGACGTTGCACGGGCACCACTGCGACTGGATCCCGCTCACGTTGGAGCTGCAGGCGCCCGCGCACGGCCTGGTGCGCACGCCCATGATCATCCAGTACCAGCTGACCAATCAGTCGTCGCATCTGGTGCGCCTCGACGTCGGCATGGAGGCGAGCGAAGCCTTCATGTTCGCCGGCTATCGGCAGACCGTGGCGGCGGTGTTGCCGTTCAGCACGAAAACGCTGCGCTACAACCTCTACCCGCTGTTGGCGGGCAGCGTGGCGCTGCCCCGMCTGGTGCTCAGCCTGCCGCAGCATGGCAACGAAGGCCCCGCCCTGCGGCCCGACCAGCTGGCGCAGCTCATCGAGCGCACGATCCCCTGCAGCATCTACGTCATGGTAGGCGGCGCCTGGGCCGGCTCTTCGCATTCTCACTTGGTTGTTGTTTCAGCCGCAGGTCAAGGGCGCCCCCCCGCTGCCCGCCCTCACCGCCTGACTGGTTTGGAGCAAAAAATGTGCTTTATTTGATTTCGATTGCTTGATTGATTAGAAATATCGATTTATTTAATTAATTCCGGCAATATGTACATTACTACAACAATGAACTATCGGGGCCCCGCCCCCTTCTGCGCTACTGGTGCAGCTTCAAGTAGGCGTCGACGAACAGGTCGAGCTCGTGCGCCAGATAGTTGGCCTTGTTACGCAGCACCTTCGACTTGCCGCTGGCGCTGTCCAGCGTTGCCACCTCGCGCTCGAGCAGCTTGAGCTGGTCGTCCATGTCGGTGGTGGCCTTGTCGACCAGACTGCACAGGCGCGCAAAGGTGCCGCTCAGCTCCTGCTGCACCTGGTGGCTGCAGTTGGCCGACGTCAGGTCGACGATCATGCGCAGCTTGCGGGTGGCGTGCGCCACGTACTGGCGCTTGAACGAGCGCTCCTTCGCCTTGTTGGTCCAGGTGAGGCGCTCGTACAGGTAGAGACAGCTGTAGAGGGCGCCGGTGACGGCGACGATGCGCCAACCGACCGTTTTGAACATGAAGCCGGCCACCAGCAGACAGCCCATGGTGCCCTGGGAGGTGGCGCCCATGACGGCGACGCGCGATATCAGCGACCAATCGTCGAGCCCGACGTTGCTGTAGAGCGTGCGCCCGTCCAGCGGCTCGACGGGCGTGGCCGGCAACAGCGCGCTCTGCGGGCTCTCCTTCTTGGCGTGCTTCAGGCCCAGGAAGGCGCCGGCGCGGCCGCTGCTGGCGAAGCGCTGGAGCAGCGCCATCACGCCGTAGGAGAACCGGAACTCCAGGTCCTCGTGGAAGTCGGCGCACAGATTGTCGCAGTTGAGCCGATAGAGGATCTCGAAGGGCTGGCGGCGCGGCATCACGATGTTGGAGGCGCAGCGGTAGGCGTCCGGCAGGAGCGTCTCCATTTTGGCGGTCATCTCCGACTGGCTCTGCTCCATGTTCATGGCCAGCGCGGTCGAGAGGCGGGCGCGCAAGTTGGAGCCCAGCCCGGTCTCCACGTGGAGGTGCAGCTCCTTCTTGTAGACGTTGAGCACGAGCGGCTCGGAGTGGAAGGGCAGGCTGAACTCGTCCACCAGCGTGCTCAGCCGCCGGATCTCCTCGGTCAGCGCCTTGGAGACGCGCTGCTCCACGTCCTCGACCATGTTGCGGATCTTCTTCTTCATCTCCTGCGTGACCAGCACGAGCTGCTGCTCCGTGTGGTTCACCTTGTCGACCAGCGCCTTGCGCTGGCCCAGCTTCAGCTCCTTGAGGCGCAGCGCCTCGCTGTAGATGCCCTCCAGGATGTCGCGCAGCTGCCTGCAACGCGCCCTGCTCAGTTGCGCCGCTCTTGAGCCAAGAATTAGGACTTACGTGGCGATGTACTTGCCGCGCTGCGCGTGCTGCTCGAACTTGGTCCTCACCGCCGACTTGGAGATGCACTCCTCGAACTGGCGCTCAAAGTCCTGGGGAGGAGGCAACAGTTAGCACAGGTTGTGAGTGGGGAGTGAGGCAGGCGTTACCTGGAACTCGAAGTAGCGCGTCTGGAAGCCCTCGGTGAGGGGCGTGGAGGCGGCGTGGCCCTGCTCGGCGAGCCGCGCCTGCAGCACCTCCTTGGCCGAGATGAAGAAGATGCGCCCCTCCGCCTCCTTGGGCGTGCACACGCCCAGCTCCTTCACCAGGAAGTCGATGGCGCGCTCCTGGTGCTGCCTGCGAACCTACACACATGGTTAGCCGGGGGGCCCGCGGGCGCGCAACACTCACCTCCTCCTGCTCGTTGCAGTGCTTGCACCAAAAGAGCGCCGATTAGCACAAGACGAAACAGGCGGCGCTGCGCCCCACTTACCTGGTCGAGGAACTCCGGCTCCGAAGCGGACGCGTCCCATCGGTTGTTCAGGATGAAGATGTTCGGTTTGGACAGCTTCTCGGACACCTTGTGGAAGAAGTTCTTCTCGGTCAGCATGAGGGTGGACTCGGCGTTCGCCACCAGGACGAACACGTCGGCGTCCAGACAGTGCATGTCGATCCACTCGTCAAGGTTGGGGGTGACGTCGACGCCCGGCGAGTCCACGAAGACGACGTCGTCCCGCAGCAGCAGGCAGCGGTTCTTCGGCCAGAAGACGCGCACCAGCTGCGACTCGCTCAGCTTCTCCTTGCAGAGGGCGTGGGCCAGCTGGCCCACCGACTCCACCGCCCGCTGCTCATTGGAGCCCTCCAGCGTCAGGTAGGCGTCTCCCGTTGCGGAGCCTTCCACCTGGAAATCGCCCAATTGAGACCTGGTTCAATCGCACACCCTCAGGGCTGCGCCCCTCACCTGCAGGAAGCAGTTGGTGGTGTGCCCGATGCCGCTGGGGAGCACCTTGTCGCGCAGCATCGCGTTGATGACGGAGCTCTTGCCGTTGGAGGTGCGCCCGAAGAAGGCCACCTTCATGTGGTCGCGCGCCAGCACCTCCCTGATGCCCTGCACCCGATCCACAAACTCCTCGATCTGTCGCACCTTCTCCTCCGACACAATCCCGTCCTCCTTCTCCACATCTACAACCCCACCGATTAGTTCCGGTTTCCGCCGATTACGTAGCGCTTGAGCTGCGCCCCCCACTCACCATGCATATACTGGACAGTGTCCTGGACGTAGTCCTCGATCTCCCCGAAAATGTCGTTGATCTTCTTCTTCGCCTTGACGAAGATCTGCAAGGGAGAGTTGTCGGCGCCATTAGTGGGGCGCAACAGCGGCACGTTGGGGCGATTGTGGGGCCCATCGCCCGACATCAGCGAAATGGTGCGGTTTATGTAAGCGGCCATGTGGGAGGCGCATGCAACAACGTCAGGTGCTCGGGGTGCTTCGCACTAACATCGATCACATGCACGCAACAAAACAGCCCAACTGAAACAAACGGAACTGAATCAAGCTCAAGTGCTCTACGGGGGCGCTGCTACAGCCCCCTGCTAGCGCGCACCTTGTTGGAGGGCATCGGGCCAGTCCTAACCTCTAAACCTGCAAAAGCCCCCCGAATGAGCCCCGCGCCAACTAGGAATGCCCCACTTACGTAACACTGTTGGTAAACTGGTCGGGTTGCTGCTTGAAGCCAAAAATCGCCGATTTGCAACGCAATATTCGCGCCGATGACGTTTGCTCAGTCAAATGTCCCAGCGGGGGCGAGGCGCCAAGCGCGCAAAACTCTCTAAAAAGGTGCACTGGGGCCCTCGGGGGCTGATTGGGGCGCAGCTTTATCCAAGAGGCTTCTTCTTCACTTTCCTGTGCGTACTCCACACTTTCAACCTGGGCTTTGAATCACACGGACTTCTAACCTCACTCTTGACCTTACGGGTGGCGCTGTTGTCGTTCCGAGCGGCGTTGCCAGTAGTGGGGGGTTGTCGCACTAATGCCCCGCCTGAAGAAAACAAAATGCCCGATGGGGACCCAAAACCAGAAAACAGCAATAGGAGAATTTTTCATTTTGGTTTCAGGTGTAGAACTTCTAATATAACATAATAACTAATTAACTATAATCCTCAAAACCAACCGCATTTTTCAACTTTGCCATTCAATTGACCTTTCTTGGCTCCATTTCTTGAAAATTTCTTACTGACGACTGAAGCGAAACTTTGCGCACTAATACGAAAATAACGAATTTTTGCACCACTCACCTATTTCTTCGAATTAATTACGACTGTAGTCCGCTTTTTCTCACCAAAATCAAACTGACACTGACACGCCGCAACTTCGTCAAAATCATCTTTCCATCGCTCTCACGCCCAGTCCACCATGCACCATTGAAGCAAGATGGACACAGACCTGGTCGGCAAATCGCCTCAAACCATTCGCAGTGGCAGACTCCGTTTGATCAGAGATCATAGAGAAAGTAAAATAAGTAAAATTTTACTTACTATATGGACCAGATTGTATGTCAAAGCACTGCCAAACGTCGAAAATTGACCAAGCAAATAGCACAAAATATCCCCAAGGGGGTATGTTCTGTGGCAAATAGCTGGCAACACTGGTTGCAACCAGAATACGCGCGCAGGGGGGATATTTAGTGGATCCGCGTGCCCCAGAAAGTGAGGTTAGTTGTGAGGAAGCCACTTTGCCGAGCCGCCGGCACGATTTTGGGGCCAGCATGGACAACAAGGACGACGTGTTTTTCCATATTTCCATCCACTATCCCCCCGCCCTGCGGTGGGCTACGCTGCTTCTGTTCGCGGGTGGACTTGCATGGTAAGCGATCACTGGGGGGCCGTGGGGCCAATTCACGTTCTGGGGATTGCAGGCGATACGTTTTCACGCAAGCGAACTGCTGGTATTGCAACAAAAACACGCGCGTGCTTTGCAGCTGGCACAAGCGGTTTGTTTGCCCCAACTGCGAGCAGTACAACGGCTTCGACAAGGTTTGCGGCTTTCCCGGCCCCACGCGGGCTCCGGTTGATGTTGGGGCTGTTTCAGGACGGCGGCTACGACCGGGTGATCGAGGAGCAGCATCGCGAGGCCCCCGGGGCCGGCAATGGGGGCCCGCCCCCCCAAAACGGGCTTTGTGAGCCGTGCAACCGCAACCAGGAGATGAGGGTGCGCCACTTGGCCGACTTCGTGCCCCTCAGGGAGTGGGACTACGACCGCGAAGTCGAGCACTTTGAGTGAGTACTGGGGGGGCCGAAGGCCCCCCAGATGGGGTTAGAAATGCCCTGAATCAACCAGTTTGCAGGAAGCAGCTCGAGAAGAGTTTCGGCCTGTGCGGGGCCTGCGAAGCCCTGGTTAAGGCCACCATTCGGCAGCAGAACGCCTGGATCTTCGGCAACATGTTGCGCAGCTCCGGCAGGGTACATCGGCGCATCCGCCGCACCGTCAGCCCCCTGGCCGCCCTTCTGCTGCTGCTGTCGCTGGGGAGCTGGGGCTGCTTCTGGGGGCTCCTGCCCCATGCCGTGCCGTTGCCCCCCGATCTGCAGCAGGCCATCGGCGCCGTTCCCCCCCTGCTCCTGCTCACGGCGCTGGGGTTTACGGTGGAGGCGCTGTTGGGGCGCAGCCCCAACCTGCTCAAACTCAACAACTTGCTGGCGTGGGGCGTGCTGGGCCTCACGGGGGCTGCGCCCTTCACACCGTCGGCCGCCCTGTATCGGGACACGCTCCAGGTGTTCTGCTCCCTCTATCTCAGCTACGCCTACGGCTCCGCCTGCCTGACTACGCCCCGCCAGAAAAAGAAGAGGAGGCGAGTCGTGGGGGACCCCACTGCTGCCACCGCCTGCCATCCCCAGCTGCCACCGCAGCCCCAAAAGCTGCCGCCCGAGCTGAACGAACACTTCAACGAGCTGAACATCGGCCCGCCCACGGCGCCTAAGGCTCGCCCAGCCTCCCCCAACCCCTTTGGCTGGGACTGTGGGGCGGGGGGCGACGCCCACGTGGTGGAGCGGCCGCCCAGGACGCTGCTGTCCCCCTCCCGCCTAGGCCACGTCACCGCCTACCCGGACGCCCCCTTTGTGATTGGCCAGATGCGGACGCGCTACGTTTCGGGCTTCTACGGCGAGGGCCCCTATTGGACGCCGGTCTACACTGCCAAGGCCCACTACTTCTAAGTCTAAATCAATTACACTGTTAAACGATTGCATTCATATATTTCTGAACAAAAAACTTAACCGCACTTTTGCTGCATCAGCTCCACTACTCCAGCTGGTGGGCGGGGGGCGCCATCAGCAGCCCCTCCAGCCTAAACAGTGGCCCCCACTTAGATCACGCGTGCGCCTGGTGGCGGTTACTCACGTGGTTCGCAGCAGGGCGTTTTCCTGGATGAGGGCGGGCACAGATGGGGGGCGGCGCTGCGCCGCCAGGAGGGCGTCGTGGCGCTGGCGCGCCTCGGCGAACTGCGCCCCCAGTGGGCCGGCGCTCTCGATGAAGCGCCCCAGCCAGGCATCCAGTTGGCGCGCCCACCGCAGCAGGGCGCCCACGTCCCTGCAAGCCAAAGCGGCTGTCTTAGTGGCCCCGCCCGCTCTCGCTACTTACTGCGACTGATTCTGGAAGGGGGCGTGGCGGAAAAGGCGGGTGTGCAGCTTGATGGCGTGCGAAACCACGCCCCTGATGCGCCCCAGCACGTCGGGCTGCGCGCGCTCCACGAAGGCCTTGCCGTTGATGTCATCGAACCTGCAATTTCGGCCAGTTATCAGGGGAAAACGGGAATTTTCGCCCCACTTACAGCGGCTGGATGTCGTGCTGTTGCAACACTGCGCGCATTTGCTCCTCCCCCACCTCCACGCTGAGTAGGCGGCGCCACTGGCCGCCGACCTGCGCCAGATTGGCCTGGCGGCGCTCCGCCCGCTCCACGCAGCGGGCCACGCCCTCAAGGCACGCCCAGTATTCGGCGTCTCGCCCCCTCAACGTGGACTGCTTTTTGCGTAGCAAAAAGCCCTGAATCTCCTGGTGGAGCTGCGCCTGCCGCGTTGCCGCCTCCTTGTACTTCTGGCGCATAGTTTGGCGCTGGCTGTGCAGATGGCGCAGGAGGGCGCTGAGCGCCCCCTCCAGAGCGCGCTGCATGCGCAGCAGGCTGTGCACCAGAAACAAGGCCTGGCGGTAGAGGGCGCGCGTGAACTTGGGCTGGAAGGGCTGCCCGACGCTGAACAGCTCCTTGACCAGGGGGGGCAGCTTGAGGAGGGGCGGGGCGCCCGACAGCAGCTCCGCCCCCTTGTAGGCGAAAATCAGCATGGAGGGCCGGCGCAGCGCGCCCATTGGCTGTCCGTCGTCCGCCTCGCCGCCAATCAGCTGGTGCGAGTCCAGGAACAGCAGCTCATTGGCCGGGAGCTTGATGTCGCGCCCCAGCCACGCCTTCAGGGTGCCCAGGCGCGTGCAGTCGTTCACCTCATACGAGTAGAACTCGCACTTGTATACGGAAAAGACCTGCAAAGGGGGTTTGACTGGTTCCCAGGCGCCCGATCAACTCACCTGCACGATGTGCTGATCGAGGATGAAGCGCAGGAAGTCGAAGGCGCTGAGGTCGCGGCTGAAGCAGCGCTGGGCGGGGTCGATCTGGAGGGCGCGGCGCAGCCACGCCTCCAGGCTCTGCTTCAGGCAGCCGCTGATGAAATTCTCGCGCTTCATCTCGGTGGAGTTGGCAACGGCGCCCGAGCCGGAGGTGTAGATGCAGATGTCGTCCGGCCCCTTGTCTTTGATTCGTTCGAAGCGCTCGAAGGGCGTGGCCTCGGGCAGGAACGGCAACAGCCCGGTGACGAGCTCGCTCACCATCACGCCCATCGACCAATAGTCGACGCGCTTGTCGTAGCCACGCCCCTGAAAAATCTCCGGCGCCAGATAGTGCAGCGTGCCCACAAAGCTGAGCGTCGCGTCGTTCAGCTCCTTCGCATAGCCCAGATCTGCAACCCCATTGGGTCTAGTCTAGTCGAGTGGGCGTGGCTAGCGCCGCCCCCTTACCAATGATCTTGTAGACGGTCTGGCCTGGGCGGTCCGCGCAGTGCTGCAGCACGATGTTATCGGGCTTGATGTCTCTGTGGGCGATTTGATGCGCATGCAGGTGACTCAGACCGCTGGACACGTCCAGCAGGATGGCGCGCACCTCCTGCTCGGCCAGGCCGCACATCCTGATTGGCTCGCTGCTCAGGAAGCGCCGCAAATTGCCTAAAACCACGCCCCCATCGCTGTTTCTGCGCAGTCAGCCAAACGCCCAAACGGTACCTTTACTGCAGTACTCCATGGAGAGGAGCGGCAGCCCTGTGGGGTTGCTCTGGGCCAGCGCGCGCCCCAGAATGGGGTCCAACTCCCGATAGCCGATGATGTTCGGGTGGCTGATGGAGCGCAGAAAGGCCACTTCCAAGCGCCAGCGCTCCTTCTGCTTGCTGCTCAGCGCCTTCGGCGACGCAAACTTGCACTTTTTCACCGCTGCAACAAACAGGCGCGCACTGTGACGTGAGTGGCAGCTGGAAAGGGGCGCAGCCCTCACCTACGCACTCGGCGGTGAGCTCTTGGCGCCAGAGGCTCACCGTGCCGAAGCTGCCCGAGCCCAGCACGGAGATCTGCAACCAGTCGCCCACTTGTTGGGGCTGCTCCATGGCAGTGGAGCCCTACACCTACGCCTGAGACTTGTCGCCACAAAATATCATAGGGGGTATGTTCTGTGCTTGTCGCTGCCCAAACTACCAAACAAAACACTAAAGCAAGGTTAGGAGAGCTGAGAGGATGACAAATGTCTATTTACTGTACTGGGCTCTCTGCGCTGTTGCCGTGTGCTAGTAATATTCAGCAAATTTTACTACAAACTTGTTTCTTTTTCCTCTTTTTGACCCATTCTGGACATTTCTTTGCGTTGTGAAAGTGTCACCACAGCATGTCAAAATAACGAGCTGCATTGATATGATCATAGATAAAGACCAGTATATAGTATAGATAAGCCACTCACAGATAAGAACACAAAATCATCATTTTGGAATTGCATACTATAAATACAGGGTGATTCAAAAAGGAAAATTGCGATTTTGCTTCAAATTACGAAAATTGTTGATGGTAAAAAAGTTTCCTTGCACAATTTTTTGACGAAAAGTCACAGCGGCAATGTTGTTTTTTGTCATAAACAGATAGTTACAGGTGTCAGTCCCTTGTGTCATCCATGGTCCTCAATCAATAACCTCCCAGTGGAGCCTTGCAGGCTCTGGCCCCCGTTGGGGGGCTGTTTAGTGTGCGTGTTAGTGAAACAGGGGGGCACAGCTGGTAAGTAGCGCCGCACTCACTCAACTGCCCATGGGTCGAAGCCCCCTCCACGTTCACAGTGTTGGCGCTTTGGTACTGTAGCTGCGTGGCCCCAGTGCATTCCATAAAGCTAAATTACCAAAGCACGACCGCTGAGGCAACCGCCAGTCATTTTCTAGCTTGTTTAATGTAAACGTATAAAAGTACAAACTAAGGGGGCCCCTAACTAAGTGTGGTAGCGGATGTACTGGTGCAGGTGGCTCCAGCTGAGCGAGTAGTCGATCTGCAGGTGGCCGTAGTTGGAGAGGCCGAAATTGGGGCGCCCCCCTTCCAGCGGCAGTTGGCTGAAAACCAATGTGCTAGGATTTAATGGGCCCCGTTTTAGGGCTACTCACCCGCTCTCCAGCATAGGGGCCCCCTTGTCATAGTAATCGGCAGGCGATTCTGGAATTTGCAAGGCAATTAATGCGGGAAATGCTTGCGTAATTGTTCGCTAATTAGCCATTCATTTAGCGTGCGATGAGCTCATGGGTCCTCACCATAGTCATAGGCGTGGGCGCTGTCGGGGCGCCGCCCCCCATACTGGACGTCGTCGATGTCGGCGTAGTCGTCGTTGGGCCCCTTGGGGCTGCTCCCCATCGAGTCCAGGTGCGCCCTGATGTAGGCGTAGTTCTCCAGGTCCCAGGGGTCGATGTAGGGCTGCGCTGCCGGAGGGGGCCCTTCGTCGCTGCAACAACCGACGGCTCCTTCAGGGGGGCGTTTGGGCGGTTCGGGGGCTACGCACCTGTCGGACTCAGTGGCGCTCCAGTAGATTTCCTCGGGCCTGAACGCCATGGCGCGCCGCTGGTTTCCGCCGGATTATGCAACTGGTGCACCTGCGAATGCACTTTGCAGGTGGATGAAAGTGGGTCACATGCAACTGTGGGGCGAACGCCTGGGGGCTGCTGGGGCCCGCTTTCTCTAACGCACTTTCTTTCCACAGCCAGAGGAGCGAACCGGCCTGGCCAAAGACGCGCCACTTAATGAGCGACCGCGCTTTCTCCTTGGTGGGGCGGGCGCTGCGCGCCACTGGTTCTTCGGGGGGCCACCGGAAGCGCCCATTTCCTCTCTAAAGCGCATTTTTTATACAGGGTGATACTGGTGTGTGGAGGAGTTCTTTGGTTAACGACATACCGGGTGTTTCAAAAAAATGTTTGTACCTCGTTAGCCATGGGCCTGAGAAACAGCCTTAAATGGAAACGCGATTTGTTGTGTGAACCACCCTGTATATAGCATTTTCTTTCATCTAGGTCGTTAGCAGGTTGCCTAATTTCCTGCCTGGAGAGGCCCGGTTTAACACAACGGAGTAAGTTGGGTTGCCGACGAGGCGGGCTTGAAAGTGACACTAGCGCACGTTGCCGCACCGCGCTCACTAGATAAATATTGGGCATCAACAAGGCAGATCGCACCTGTCAGGGCCCCATCTAATCCTATCTCTTATCAGCATCATGCGACACGTAGTGCTAATCGCTGGCACAAAGTAAGCGCGTCTCACGCCAGTGCAACGCAACCCGTCCAAAATGGGGCTTTCAGTGAGCGCCAAAACGATCAAATACCTGATGTTCGCCTTCAACTTCGTCTTTGTGGTAAGTGGGCCTCGGGCTGCGCCAGGGCCTCGCCTAAGCGGCCCCCTTTGTCCAGATTACAGGGATGATCATCATCGGGGTGGGGGCAGCCGTCAAAACCATCTACACGCAGTACGCGGACTTCCTGGACACCCAGTACTTCTCCCTGCCCAACATGCTGATCGCCACCGGCGCCCTCATCTTCCTGGTGTCCTTCTTCGGCTGCTGCGGCGCCATCAAGGAAAACTGGATCCTGCTGGCCATTGTGAGTACCCCCACCTCTGCTAATCCAGACGCAATGGCGAATGCGCCCCATTGCAGTTCACCTTCCTGCTGTGCATCATTTGCCTGTTCGAGTTCGCGTCGGGGATCGCCGGCTACGTGCTGAGGAGCCAGACGGCCGCCTATCTGGACACGCGGCTCAGGGCCGACCTGAGCACCTACAACGAGTCGACGCACGCCATCTGGGACCTGATCCAGAGCAATGTAAGTAGGCGCCGTGTGGCGGTGGCGGGGGCTCTACAGGGCGGGGTTTCAGTTCGAGTGCTGCGGAGTGGACAGCTACGCTGATTGGAGCCAGTATTTCGGCGAGAGTGGGGAACTGCCCGTGTCCTGTTGTCCCAGCGTCTCGGGCGTCGTGGGCGCCTTCTACTGCAACAGCGCCTCAACGACCACTGGTACCCCAAGTACCAGTTACTCCACCACAACGACGACCACAACCCAAAACACTACTTCAAGCGAAACCACTAGCACTAGCTGTAAGTGAGCGCGAAAACCCCAGCCCGGAACGATCAGCTGATTTGATTGTTTTTCCGCAGCACCTACATCTGCACCGTCTGATCAAAACCAGTTAGTGAATCTGGCGGGCTCAGAGTCGACGACAGCCCCCTACACAGAGGGCTGCAAAAGCGCCTTCGGCGCCTACATCAAGCAGCACGCCTACCAGATCGGGGGCTGCGCCCTGGGCCTGGCCATCCTTCAGGTGAGTCGCCGGCCAACCACCGGTCGCCCTCAATTGAGCCCCCTTTCTGTCCGCAGCTGGTCGGCATCGGCTTCTCCTTCTACCTGGTGCGCCAGCTGAAGAACGGCTACTTCAGCACCTGATCACCGGCCGCGGCCCCTCGCCCATGTCAATAACCCCTAGTTAGTGGCGTGTTTTTTTGGAAAATACTCTTATAATGAAGCGGAAATCAACCAACCAATTAAACACGTAGTGAGACACTGAATTTGCTTATGAAATAGGACTAAGTGTAATGTAGATGGGGGGCGCTCAGGCCGAGTCGTGGATGCCCAATCGGAAGATGTCGTGCTGCACGAAGAAGGAGCCCCCCAGCGGCTTGAGCACAAACACTTGCGAGTAGGCGTGCGGCGGGTCGTCGTCAGCCTGAAACATTTACGGGGAATAAATCAGTCGCGGCACGGCCCCCTTCCCCATCCTCAACTTCCCCAAAGCGTGCACTGGAAAACCAGGTACTTCAGTAACTGCGAAAACTTTGCCAGCGATCTCAGAGCAGAGAGTTTCACTGTTACCCCCAAAAAAGCGCACTGTCTATGTTTTAGGATCGTCAAGCCTAGTCTAGGTTAGGTGTCTCGGTCGGGCCGCAGCCCTGGTTAGAGTAAAACCTCTGTAATACGTACAGCGCGAGTGCAGGGGGCAGCTAAATGGTGTCGTGCAGCACCAATCGGAAACAATCGTGCTGCACAAAGAAGCTGCCCTCGATCGGCTTTAGTACGAAGGTCTGCACGTAAGCGTGGGGCAGATCCTCATCGGTCTAGGCAAGTAACAGTGGCAATTACTAGGGCCGCGCCACCTCCACCTAACCTAGATGGTTACCTGTAAGCGGCCCAGGACGTTGATCAGGACGCCCCCGTCGAACATCGGCTGCGAGTCGACGGCCGTTATTATCCTATTGATCTTCTGGAAGGTGAGACTCTGCAACACACAGGGCTGCGGTCAGCCTACGCGGCCCTCACTCATGCACACTCGAACACTTACAGCGATTTTCTCCATGATTTTAGGCGCGCCCTGAATCTGGACCCCCTCGAACGTCATGAAGGAGAGCTCCACCTGTAATTGATCGGGGGGCGCTAGTTAGGTTCCAGCCCTCATGGGGGGCCCACACTCACATTGTACATGTTGGCCAGGTTTCGCCGCTGGTTCGGGTCGTCGAACAGCGCATAGTACTGCTGCACGAATCCCTTGCCTATCGCCTCGTACTGCAAGTTGAGCGTCATCGTGGGGGCCAATTTTGCGCCAAAAACACCGAAAAAACCTCCTCAATCTTGTGCCCACCGAACCTGCCTGTCAGCAGTGACAACCCAATGTCACTTTGGACCGTTACCCCTCACAGTGCTACCCGGTTTGGCAACCCTGCAATTGGGGATTTTCGAAATTCGGAGGCCGGCCCAGGAAAATCACGCATTGCAGGCAACCAGCCAAGCAATGTTTGTTTACTGAACTGTCTACCCGACGTCATTCAGTGAAGTGTTTGTGCAGTTTTGGGGGCCCAGGGCGCAGCGCCACGCAATGTACTCACTCCTGCACGGCTTCTACCAGTACATGGTGCAAAAGGACGAGTTTTGCGTGCTGATCCTCGGCCTGGACAACGCAGGCAAGACGGTAAGCGATGGGGGGCTGACGCAGGGGGCTTTGAACCGTAGCCCCCGCCCAATTTGCAGACCTATCTGGAGGCGGCCAAGACCAAACTCACCAAGAACTACCAGGGCATCAACCCGGGCAAAATCACCACGACAGTGGGGCTGAACATCGGGCGGATCGACGTTGGTGGCGTGCAGCTGAACTTCTGGGACCTGGGGGGCCAGAGCGAGCTGCAGTCGCTCTGGGACAAGGTAGGCCCAGCGAGGGGGCGAAGCCCGAACTAGCAGTCACCTGTTGTTGTAGTACTATGAGGAGTCGCACGCCGTCATCTACATAGTGGATTCCTGGGACAGGGAACGTGTTGATGAGTCCAAGGAGATTTTCGGTAAGGGCCTGGCGGCCGCCGGATGCAGCGACTGAGCCCCCATTCTGCCCACAGACCGCATGATTGCCAACGACAACCTGCAGGGGGTGCCGCTGCTCGTGCTGGCCAACAAGCAGGACCTGCCCGAGTGCATGGGGGTGCGCGAAGTCAAGCCCATCTTCAACAAGAACGCCCACCTGGTGGGCAAGCGCGACTGCATGGTGATGCCCGTGTCGGCCCTCACTGGGTGAGCCGGCGCCCACCCACGGAGCGCCCCGTCCACTCAACTGCCCCCCTGTTTCAGAGACGGCGTCGACGAAGGCATCAAGTGGCTGGTGGACTGCATCAAGCGGAACGCCTTTGCGCGGCCCCCCAGAAACAGCGAAGACCCGTAGCTGCGCAACCAGACAATCAGGTGTTTTTGTGTATTTATGCCGCGCTATCGGAATTATAATTACTGATAAGAAGCGCCGCCTTTATTTGCGTGTGAGCCACGAGTCAGGTGCCATGTACCCCTATTACGAGACGGACTGGAGTGTCTTGCCCCCCGAAGCCAACCGCCGGTAAGTGCAGCTGGAGGGGGGCGCGCGCCCCCCGGTGTTTGTGTGCAAACTGGGGCCCCAGTTGGATTTGCTGGTAAGCACTGTGGTGTGTCCTGCTTTAACTGTGCGGGTGCGACGAGGACAGCCAGTGGGTTGGGACGGGTGCTTTTCAGAGAGTTACGGGGGTCCCCAGAGAAGTCGGGGTTTTGCCACTAAATTCCCATTAGAGGGGCACCCCCCCCCAGAGAGCTGTACGGGCGCCCAGGGCTGCGGCAACACTGCCGGTCGACGCCAATGACAAGCGGGCGCCATATTGCGTGTTTACGTCAACAGGGCCCCCCATTTATCTGCCAGTGTCACTGCAAGAGCCAACCAGCAGGAAATCAGTGCCAGTGGAGCCCTAAATACGCAGGTGTGAGTGCAGGCCGCCTTTTGTGCTTCGCCCGGGTTGTTTTTAAATGTGTGCGCCTTGCTTAGAGTGGAGTTGTTGTTGTCGTTAACCTGGCCAAGATGAACGCTTCGGACCACGGGTGAGTGCCCCCTTTTGACTGCGGCCGGCAGGCCTGACTGTGCACTAAACAGGGCCCCGTTTCAGGTTCAACCCGGCCTTCAACATGGCCACCATCAAGCAGGTGGTGAACGAGGCCATCGAGCGAGGTAGGTGGGGAGTTTGGGGCTTGGGGGGCGCTAACTGAGGGAGCTGGGGGTTTCAGTGCGGATGCCCACGCCGATGAGGCTGCGCGACCTGATCAGACAGATCCGCGCCGCTCGGACTGCTGGCGAGGAGCGCAGCGTGGTGAACAAGGAGTGCGCCTACATCAGGAGCACCTTCAGGGAGGAGGACTCCGTCTGGAGGTAGGCGGTGCGGTGGGGGCGCCGCCCAGGCCTGATGTTTGGCGCTGTTGCAGGTGCAGGAACATCGCCAAACTGCTCTACATTCACATGCTGGGGTACCCGGCGCACTTCGGCCAGCTGGAGTGCCTGAAGCTGATCGCCAGCCCCCGATTCACCGACAAGCGCATCGGCTATTTGGGGGCCATGCTGCTGCTGGACGAGCGCCAGGACGTCCATCTGCTGATCACCAACTGCCTGAAAAAGTCTGTAGCCGCTCACTGAATGGGGCCAATTCACTACTGAGCGGGTGTTTTTTTGTTTTTTAGCGACCTGAACTCCAGCACGCAGTTCGTGGTGGGGCTGGCGCTCTGCACGCTGGGGGCGATCGCCTCCCCTGAGATGGCGCGCGATCTGGCCGCCGAAGTGGAGCGTCTGATGAAGTCCCCGAACGCCTACATTCGCAAGAAGGCGGCCCTCTGCGCCTATCGCATCATCAAGCGCGTGCCCGAGCTGATGGAGATCTTCCTGCCGGCCACCCGAAGCATGCTGAGCGAGAAGAACCACGGCGTGCTGATCACCGGCGTCACCCTGATCACCGAAATGTGCGAAAACAGCCCCGACACGCTCAACCACTTCAAGAAGGTACCCGACCAAAGCCCTGCCGGCTGGCGTTTGGCACACGGCTGTTGCAGATCGTGCCCAATTTGGTGCGCATCCTCAAGAACCTGATCCTGGCCGGCTACTCGCCGGAGCACGACGTCTCGGGCGTGAGCGACCCCTTCCTGCAGGTGAAAATCCTGAAGCTGCTGCGCATCCTGGGCATCAACGACGCCGACACGTCGGAGGCCATGAACGACATCCTGGCGCAGGTGGCCACCAACACGGAAACCAGCAAGAACGTGGGCAACACCATCCTGTACGAGACGGTGCTCTCCATCATGGACATCAAGTCGGAGGGCGGGCTTCGGGTGAGTGGCCACGCCCCCACCAACCCCATCTAATCCCCCATTGGACAGGTGCTGGCCGTCAACATCCTGGGCCGCTTCCTGCTCAACAACGACAAAAACATCCGCTACGTGGCGCTGAACACGCTGCTGCGCACCGTGCACGTGGACACTTCTGCGGTGCAACGGCACCGCTCCACCATCCTGGAGTGCTTGAAAGGTACCCCCACCGCTCGCTTCAGTCCCCATTCAACTGCCACTGACATTGACATTTCCCCGGGGTCTAGATCCGGACGTGTCCATCAGGCGACGCGCAATGGAGCTGTCATTTGCGCTGGTCAACGCGCAGAACGTCCGCACCATGATCAAGGAGCTGCTGGCGTTCCTGGAGAAGGCCGATCCGGAGTTCAAGGCGCCCTGCTCGAGCAACATCGTGCTGTCGGCCGAGCGCTTCGCCCCCAACAAGCGCTGGCACCTGGACACGCTGCTCAAGGTGCTGGTGGCGGTGAGTGACAACTTTGACGCATGCCATGGGTGACAGCACTGACCTTCTCCCCCCCACGGGTTTCAGGCGGGCAACTACGTGAGGGATGACGTGATCTCGTCCACCATCCAGCTGATATCGGAGACGACCAGTCAGCAGGCCTACGTCACCTTGCAGCTGTTCAAGGCGCTGAGCGAGGACCTGCAGGACCGGCAGCCGCTGACGCGCGTCGCCGCCTGGGCCATCGGTGCGCCCCACCCGCCCCTTATCGCTTCGCGCGCWCTAAATCCCCCCTGTTCTAGGCGAGTACGGGGACCTGCTGCTGGAGGCGCCCCCCGACGAGGAGCACGGCATCGCCCACCCCCCGACCGAGGAGCAGGTGCTGGAGATCTACCAAAGGTGCTGCTGCCAAAGCCCGCCCACTGAGGCGAACCGGGGCGATTGATCTGAGCGTCTGTGTTGTTGCAGGCTGCTGTGGAACCCGCAGAACAGCAACACCACCAAACAGTACGCGCTGATGTCGCTGACCAAGCTGAGCACGCGGTTCAGCGCCACCACCAGGTGAGTTGCAGGCTTTTCGCCAAGTAATTGCTGCAACCGGGGAATTTGCAGCCAAATCCAGCATGTGATCAGCTCGTTCCGCTCCAGTCTGCACATCGAGCTGCAGCAGAGGGGCGTGGAGTTCTCGCAGCTGTTCGGCCAGCACGGGCACCTGCGGCCCGCCCTGCTCGAGCGGTAAGTCGCGCCCATTGGGCCTGAACGCCCACTAAAGAGGCGGGGCTTTGCAGGATGCCGCCCATGGAGGTGGTGCGCAACGGCGACCCGCTGGACCTGGCCAATGGCGACGAGGACAGCCCGGATGAGGTCAGCCCCCAGCACGCGCCTGCCGGCGAATCGGTGAGCCCCGCAGTGACTCCCTCCCCCCTCGGGGCGACTAACCTGAACTTGTTTAGAACGCGCTGTTGGACCTGCTGGGCGGGGACGACCCAGTGGGGGCGTTGCCGGCGCCCCCGGTGGGCGACAGCCCCAACCAGGACCTGCTGGACCTTTTGGGGCTGGGGCCCCTGAGCGACAACGACGCCAACGTGGACAATGCGAACTTCAACTTTCTGACTGGTGAGTTGGGGCCTGCGGCGCCCCCTCGCCTTGTCGCAGACGATCTGCTGGACAGCGGGCAGAGCCTGGCGCCCCCGTTGACCGCCTTCGAGAAGGACGGCCTCAAAGTGCTGTTCAGCTTCGAGGGGCCGCGCGACGGCAACATGGTGCCCATCAGCGTGACCGCCTCCAACCAATCGGGCGCCACCCTGAGCGAGTTTCTGTTCCAAGCGGCGGTTCCCAAGGTGGGTGCGTGGGGGATGAAGGCTTTCGGGGGGTTAATCGGGCTTGGGGGGCAGATTTTCCAGATCCAGATGCTGTCGCCTTCCGGCACCGTCCTGCCGCCCAATGGGGTGGTCACGCAGGTGCTGAAGGTCACCAATCCCGGCCAGGTGAGTGATCGGAACCGCCCCTTTGGGGTGAGGCGGGCTCACTGTTCCCTTGGGTGTTTAGAACGTGCTGAGGATGCGGCTGCGAATCTCCTACTCGGTGGACGGAAACCCGGTGCTGGAGCAGGCGGAGGTGAACACGTTCCCCCAGGAGCTGTGGGAGTGAGGGGCGCCGCCCCCCGGCCCCCTTTGTACATAGCAGGGAAACATTCCGGCAGGAGGCGCCACTGGATTGGGTACTTAACTACTGGTTAGCGCGACTGTTACTACTACTACTACTAATTCTAACCTTGTTTGTTACTTGCGTCCATAGCTATAAATGAGCAACACACTTGAATTAAAGAAGATTTATTGAACTAGAAGCGCAGCTTTTGGAAGAACCACTTGTTCTTGCCCTGTTTATACCGCTCCTCGAACCGCACTCGCGTCTGGAAGCGCAGCTTCTTGCGCTTCATGGGGTCCTTCAGGTCCTTGGCGGAGCCCAACAGGCTCTTGCCCTTCACGTCGGTCAGATCCGACACGGTGTACCGCGTGGGCATCAGATGGTTGTAGTTCAGGGTCTGGAACAGGGCATTGTGGGGCAAACGGGGGGGCAAAATGGTGCAGACTCACCTTGATGAAGGGCTTGATTTTGCTGCGCTTGTGCATCTTGCCTTTGCCCATTCGCTTGTTGATTTTGCGCGGATACCGGTCGATGCCGGCCACCACGGCGTGCGCGTAGGGCTTCTCTCCGGTGCCGTCGTCGAAGTTCTTCACCACGATGGCTTTGCGCCCCGCGTAGCGCCCGCCCAGCACCAGCACCACCTTACCCGGTTTCATTATCTTGCCCATGGCGATCTGCAAAGGCCCCAAAACACACTCACAACAATGACACCTAACCTCAAACGGGCCCTTTGCCCCCAATTCGGCCGCCAGCCCCCGAAATCACCGGGTGCCCCGAAAGGGCGACGCTACCAGGTGGGTTACCTCACAGTGGTGGCCGAAAAGGGGCCAAACTGGGCGCGATGTTTGAAGATTTCGCGCCAGGGGTACTTACTTGTTTTCGTTCCAATTGCTGAAAGGACTGTGGGTGATTGACAGTTGACAGCGCAGATGGCGCTGGCGCCGGAGGCGCATGGGCGGGGCCCGCGAAGCCTTAATTCGACTAAAGCGACCGTTAATTCAAACAACCCGAAATCAATCAGCTAATCATCATTTACTTTTTGCTAATTTGCAGCCAAAAAACCAAAAAAAAAAAAAATTACAACAATCAATCACTCATCGGCAGGTTCGGACTCAGGGCGACCAGGTGGCGCCAGCGGCTTCAGACTGCGGGGCTTCGCCCAGGCGCACTCACAGCTGAACTCGCACGGCGCCTGCGGCGCTTGGTCCTGGGGCTTCGCCCAGGGGTTCCAGACGCGCAGCAACAGCGGCTGGATGTACCGGTGGAACAGGAACAGCAGGAGCGGCAGCACAAAGCAGGGCACACAGGCGACCATTGTTCTGGCGGTGACAAATGACAAACGACAGATGTGACTGCAGGATTGCGGTTGACAGATAAAGGGGGCGAAATGGCTCAACAAACAGTGCGAAGCGCCGTCAAGCAGGTGAAGCCCATCCTGTCCTTGGACAGGGAGGAGGCCCGCAGGCGGGTGGTGAGCCTGTACAAGGCCTGGTACCGGCAGCTGCCCTACATCGGTAAGCTGGCGACCCGTAACCTCACTTTGTGTTTATGTAATGTTGGGGTTTGGGGGGCTGTTGCAGTGAAGCAGTTCGATATCCCCAAAAGCGAGGCGCAGTGCCGGCACAAGCTGCGCGAGGAGTTCGGCAAGCACAAGCTTGTGAATGACATTCGGGTGGTGGACTTGCTGGTGATCAAGGTGGGTGGCGCGGGGCGTGAGGGCCCTGAGTGAGTTCTGGCGGGTTTTAGGGTCAAATGGAGCTGAAGGAGACGGTGAACGTGTGGAAGCAGAAGGGCCACCTCATGGCCTACTTCAAGGACACCTGGGAGCCCAAGCCCCAGGACTTCCTGTCCAAGTTCCTGGCCGGCAAGGAGTAGTGATCCAGTACAGTGTATGTAGACAGTCATTTATTACGGACTAAGGTCAAATAGGGTTAAATCGGGTCAAATAAAGCGCCCAGCTGAGTGATAGGGCTTGTTTCTGGTGAACCTCGACATCAAGTCCCAGGCCCACTTGGGCTGGTCGGCGGGCACCATGTGGCCGGCGTTGCGCACCAGCACCTCCGTCAGGTTGCCCGCCTGCTTCACGTAGCCGGCCAGGTCGGCGCCCACGCGCCACTGGAACCTACCCGCACTCCTATACTGGTCGGCGCCCGCGAACTGCAGGTTCTGCAGGTAGTTCTCCGTCAAGGGGTAGGCGACGATGATGTCGAGCTGCCCGTTGTAGATCAGCACCCGGTAGTGGCTGAGCAGCTCGGCCACCCACGGCGCCACGCTTTGCATCACGTCGCTCTTGAGGTTCGTCTGGAAACAGCGCCCCATTGTCAGTCTCAGCGGGGGCTTCGCCCCTCACTCACCTCCACCACGTTCGTCTCGTCGCTGAAGCTCGTGTTGCCCACGTGGATGGCGGCCCGCACGTCCGCCCTCTGCACGTATTTCGCCATCAGGCGCAGCTCGGCCTCCATCGGGTCCACAGCGTACAAGTAGTTGAAGTAGTTGTCGAAGCCCGACAGGTTCCTGAACAGCGACGAGTGGTTGTTCAGGTCCCCGTTGAGCAGCGAGTCGAACACGTCGAACGCCTTGTCGAACTGCTTGCTCTCGATGTAGCGGACGCCCTGCGCCTCGTAGCCCTGCACCGCCTGCAGCCCGTTGAGGTCGATCAGCCCCAGCTGGTAGAGGTAGAGCCCGTACTTGAGCTGGTGCTCAGGGTCGCTCAGCCCGTTCCCCATGCTTAAACCTTCGGGGGAATATGGAGGGCGGGTGGACGGGATGGTGAATGCGCCTACCTTTGAGGTTGATTTTAAGGCGGCTGTCAGGGTTGCGCTGGTGGATGGTGTAGGCGATGGCGGGCACGTACTTGCCCCCGTAGGACTCGCCGCTCACGAAGAAGTCGTTGCCCTGCAGCTGGGGGAAGAGCGTGAAGAATTGCAGCAAGGCCCCGTAGAGGTCCTGGCCCACTTTGGTCTCGTTCTGGGCGTAGCCCCCGCTGGTGAAGCTGAAGCCGGTGCCTGCAAAGGGGCGCATGCACTGGGGGCTTCGACTGGGGGGCGCCGCCACTCACCCACCGGGTTGTCGATGTAGATCACGTGGTGGTTCTCCGTCCAGGAAAACGGGCGCTCCTTGAGCCCGCGCTTGGCCTTGACGGTGAACGGCCCGTTCTCGCCGAACAGGCCGATGAGGCTGGAGGCGCCCGGGCCCCCTTGCAGCCACAGCAGCACTGGCGCCGTCTCGGGGCTGCTGCGCGCCGGGAAGTACCAGAAGAACATGTTGGAGCCCCACAGCTTGTCCACCGTGAAGTAGCCTGCAACAGGCAGGAACGGGTGAAGCGGGGCCCCCAAAACCCACGCGCCCCACCTGCGTAGCTCTGCTGCTTCTTGAAGCCAGCGAAGTGCACCTGGGCGGCCTGCTGCGCCTCCGCGATCTTGTTCTGCTCGATCAGGGGCGTGAGAATGAGCGGCGCCCCCGGGTCGTCGTCCACCTGCAGGCCTTCGGCCGGGAGGCGCGGGTAGAAATTGGGGAAGCCCCCCAGGGCGTGGTGGAACACGCAAACCGTCACCAGCACACGAAACATGCTTGTCTGCACTGATTGGCCACTTAACAACCGGACGGGACAAAGCAGGGGTGACCAGAGGTCGGGACTTATCGGGTTAAGCGATAAAACGGCGCGTTGATTGCGATAAATTGCAGGCAGACTAAATGGCGGATGCGCCCCAAATGGGTTTTTATTCGAATAAAGTAATCGACAGGCTTTTTGAATTAACTTTTCAGGAACTTGGTTACAAATTCGGTCTCAACGGGGTTGAAATGGTGAAAAGTGGTTTTCCGCGCTCGGGAAAACCCGGAAAATTGGCCATAGGCAGCCAGCAACACCCAGGCCAGGTGTGGCGGGTTGCCGGCGACGGGGCCAGGTGCCGTTATTTATAGCCGATGACCGGAAAAGCGGCCATGCTTTGGGCATAAATAAACAAAAGCCAGTCGGTTCCGGTGGAGCGATCAAGGGTGCGTTTTCTGAGTGAACCGGGGCGGAATGGTTGATGGTTGGTGACGTTCGTGCGTAAAATGGCCTCCTTGAAAGTGAAAGAAGCGCTCTGTTTGGTCTATTCGGGGCTGCTGTTTGTGAGTGAATGGGGCGCCGCCGTGTTGCGGCCGAGCGTCACGCTCTGTGCAGATTTCAGGGCTGGTGCTGATGGGCGTCGCGGCCTACTTGCTCTTCAAGCTGTTCTACCACTACACGTTCGTGCCGAGCGGCAGCGTGGGCCCCTTTTTCGTCGTTTTCCTGCTGGGCATCGTGCACCTGCTGCTCACCTGGCTGGGGGTCAAGGGCCCCACTCGGGAGCACAACTTTCACATCGTCCTGGTAAGTGGGGCATTGGCAGGCAACCCAACTCACACTGCTGCTGCTGCTGTTGCTGTTGCAGTTCATGCTGTTTACGCTGCTGCTGTTGGTGGCCGAGTTCGCCATCGGCGTCTGGGCGATCATCCTGTGGGACGAGGTCGAGGTGGGCGCCCTCAACCTCATGAGCGCCTCCTTTGAGGAGCTGATCGCCCTCAACTACTACCGCAAGGACTGGAACAAGCTGCAGAGTCAGGTGGGTGCAGGGCAGCGTGGCCGAGCGGTCTAAGGCGCTGGTTTTAGGCACCAGTCCGAAAGGGCGTGGGTTCGAATCCCACCGCTGTCACTTTTTTCGACTTTTTTTTGCAGTTGCACTGTTGCGGCATCAGCGGCGTGCAGGACTACAACAGGACCGAGTCCTACCCGACGTCGTGCTTCCAGAACGCCGACACTGATTTGGCGATCCGCTACCCGGACGGCTGCAAGGCCCCGCTGATCCGCTACGTGAAGCGAGTTATGATCGATGGCGCCATCTTGGGGTTCGTCTGCGCCCTGCTGCAGGCCGTCGGCCTGTTCACTTTTTACAGTTTTCTGCGTGCGCTGCGCGCAGCGMGGGCTGAGCGGCTGGCGCGGCGCGTTGCTATGCAACGCGAGCTGGCCAACGCGCCCCCTGTGGGGTTTGTGGCGCCAGCCACTCCCCCTGTTACCACCTAGAAGAGTCCCGGCTGTGGTATTTTTGTTTCAATAAACCTTTGAGCTCGTTAATGAATGCAAGTTCCCTAGAGGGCGCCGCCAGCGGATCTCACCGCCGAATCAAACAGCAGGCAAATAGAGAAACAGCGATATAATCAGGAGCGAACCTATCGGAGCTTGAGCGCCAGGTACAGGATGAAAAAGACCAGGAGGGCGAACACGAACAGGTAAAGCACAATGTAGTTGTGGGAGCCGCGCGATAGTTTTGCTACGCGCGACATGGTTTTGCCCAGGAAGCCGCCGGTGCGGTCCATGTCGTCGTCCACGTCGCGCAGCAGCTTGTGCTGGTGCTGGACTTCGGTCCCAATGTCGATGGACAGCGACTTGAGCACCCCGATTTTCTCGGCCAACTCGTGGGTCATCCGCTCGTTCTCCTGCTCGATGGCGCTGTTGGCGTCCTGCGGCAGGGGCTCGTAGTGGTGCGAGCGACGCATCTTGTGCTGGGCCAGCGTGAACACTCACTCACTCACCAAACAATGGGGGCCCCACTAGTGACGTGGGGTTGGTTGTTTATCAACTGAGAACTGGGAGGTTAGGTGCCAAAGTCACCAGAGTGCGGCGTTGCCCGGTGGTCGCTGGCGCGACGCGGCAGGAAGCAGATCGACGCCCTTAACCTTGCGGGCGTTGTTAGTAAACAAGCTGGAACGTTCCCAGCCCACACAAGATTATGTAAATGCGGCGGCGGTGGTGGGACCAGTCAGGTGAGGCGCAGCCCTGCAGGTGCCTGAAGTATGGACAGCGTCGCCGAGCGCAAGCTGTCGCTGGTCTCGGTGCAGTGCCGCATCTGCTACGACAACGACAAGGACGAAGYCCTGATCGCCCCCTGTCAGTGCAAGGTGAGTGGAGCCGTGGGGGGCCGGCGGGCCCCTCACGGCTCAACGGTCGCTGTTGCAGGGGAGTGTGGCCTTCGTGCATCGCACCTGCCTGGAGAACTGGCTCAGCGAGTCCGGGACGTCGACGTGCGAGCTGTGCCATCAGCCCTTCAACACCGAGCGCACGCCCAGGTTCTCGTCGTCCAGGTCCGTTTGGTACTGGCTGCGCCACGGGCCCCGCTACCCCGGCACGGGCGTGCGGGGCGACATCATCGCCTGCAGCGTGAGTACTGGGCGCGCGCCCCAATCGCCCACTGAGCTCCGCCGGCTTCCAGGTTATCACCCCGTTGGCTGTGGTGGTGACGTACGTCTGCCTCTACTCCTCCGAGTACTACGGGCAGCAGAAGTTCTCCCAGATCCCCGCCGCCAAATGGACGTCGATCTCGCTCCTGATCATGATCGCCATCATGCTGTTCGGGTACTACCTGTGGGTGCATTCGGTGGTGCGGCTGCATGCGCGCATGTGGTACAGCTGGTGGCAGCGCTCCTGCGTGGTCCGGTAAGGCGAAGCCCTGCGCCTCTGCGCCCCCAACGATCCGTGTTGCAGGTACATCCCGCCCAGCACCATCTCGCTCCAGCCGCGCGCTCTGCAGCAGAGCGCGCCGACGCCCCACAACACCCCCAATCTGCTGGGGGCGCTCAGCCAGTCTGCCACCAATGTGGAGGCGCCCCAAAACGACACTGTGATCGACATTGAGGCCCCCTGTGCCAGTTTTGATGAACTAGATTTGAAGTAAGTTGTCTGTCTTTCACTGTCTTGATTCCTGGGCAAAATGGCGAATGCGCTAGCAAGTTTGCTATAGTTTATTGACGTCGGGTCGCTTACGCCACTAGGGGGAGTCTAAGAGATTACATAAGCTACGCGGGAGGAGTGGGGGTCAAATATCTATAGCTATCGCTAATTAAACCTAGAAATTGACGGTGAGGCGTGAGATTAGGGGGCGAGTGGACTGGAGGATCGCGACCCCACCGTGAAGTCCTTGTACTGGGAGAAGACGCAGATCTGCAGCAAAGCGAATGGGGTCAAGAGCAGGGGGCGCAGCCCCCGGTCCGCCTACCTTGTCTTTGAGCTGCTGGCACAGCTGCAGGCCCACAGTGAACAGCACCAGGACCTCGTTGAGCCACGGGACCGAGCACTCGGCGTGCGACGAGTCGTACTTCATCTCGCCGTGGCTGTAGACCAGCTGGTAGATGGCGAATATCAGCTTGTGGCTCTGGATGTAGAAGCTGATGGCCAGATCCTCCGACAGGTTGGGCGCCAGCGACTTCTGCAGCGGAGCGTAAATTGGCCAACCGACAACAGCCGCACACGACCTCCACTCACCATGTTGCGGCTCTTGATCAAGTCGTCCATGGTTTTCTTGCGGGGCACGATCAGGCTGGTGCGGCCGCGCTGCAGGCTCCCCAGGATGTTCCCCAAGATGTGCAGCACCTCGTCCGACGACCTGCAAAAGGACGGACGGTGCAAACGCAGGGAACGGGGGGCGGAAGCGCCTGCACCCACTTGAACTTGTAGTTCTTCCCCACGTCGTCGATGTGGTAGATGGCCTGCTGCAGGTGGTTGGCGGCGTCCTGCACCTGCTGCAGCTTCCACGGGTACTCGTTGTGGATGGTGGTGCGCACCATTGTGGCCGAGTTCTGCCTCGTCACCTTGAAGTTGATGTCCTAAAAAATGAGTTGCGCATTCACCAATCTGTCCACCTTCCCTGCCATTGATTATTCAAAGATTCATCCCTCCATACTCATTGGTACTCACAGCATGGGTGATGCTGTCGCCCGTTAAGGTGACCACACACTTGAGCTGATCGGCCGGAATCGACAGCACGAACTTGTCCTGCTTGCTGGAGTTGTCGTGGCCGTAGAGCTGCACCGGGAAGCGGCGGGCGCACTCCTGCAMCCCCATTTCGACTGCACCAACGCCCCCAGCCACTCGCCCTCCCCGGCCCACACTTACCACTAGAATCTGGTGGATCTGGTCGAGGCCCTTGTGGATCTCCTGGTGCAGCACCCACTCGAACTCCTGCTGCTGCAAAGTGGCCCCCCATCAGTCGCACTCGCTCTAAGGCTGCCGAGCCCCCCACTTACCAGATTGGCGGTCTCGGACTTGTCGCAGTCCATCATGGCGGCTGGGGCGCTCCGCTCGCGTCTGCTCGGCCGCTCAATTCACTGCAACTTGCAGCATTCTGCGGGCTCTAATTTGGGGCGAAATCCCTCAACAGTGACAGCAACGTTTGGAGGTTAATCTGAGGGTGATCAGCTGGTTGTTGCTGGCGCAGCGTTGCCACGTCCAGGCCCGCCTGAAAAGAAGACAAAATTATTGTTTTTTTGGGGCTTCAGGTAGTGATTACCGCCCCGGGCAGGTGGCGCGGTGGCCACCCCGTCAATCACCCAGTGACGTTCCGACTGTCAAGCCCCAAAACAAAATAAACATTGCTAGGGGTGTGCCCGGCCACTGTCCAAACGTTCTGCTGCTGCAAAGAGCAACTGCCGGCCCCCACTGAGGCCACTGGCATGTTCTGGGGCAACTAGCCGCCATGTCTGACGAGGCGCTCGCAATGGGTGAGCCCCTGCGGGCGGCCCGGCGACCCCCACCGACTCCCATATGTGTTGCAGGCGATTTCGGCATGCTGCACAGCCTGTACGAGTTCAAGGCGTCCTACGCCAAGACGATCAGCTTCAAGGCGAACGAGTTCTTCATCCTGCAGCAGACCAACACGAAGCACAAGAACTGGTGGGAGGTGATCAACGAGCGGGGCGACATCGGCTACATCCCCTCGAACTACGTGGAGACGGTGAGCGTCCACCCCGGCTTCTACGCCAAGTTCCTGGAGAACGCGCTGGAGAACCTGCGGAGGCGCGACGGCGCCCCCAAAGGGGACGCCATGGAGCGGCTGCAGCGACTGGTCGGGCGCCAGCAAGGGGCGAGTGACGGTGCCAGCTGACGTGTGCGTGTTTCAGGCGGAGCAGCGGGGGAGCAATGGGGCGCAGTCCTACAAGGGCGGCCTCCAGGAGGAGGAGGAGCCGATCAAGCCGGTGACCAAGAGCCTGGACAGCATCCAGAAGAGCATCGAGAACATCCACGAGGAGGTCAAGTCGGAGATCTGCGAGGCCCAGCAACGGTGAGTGCTGCGGCAGCCTCAAGGGGGCTCTGGAGCGCGCTGTTTGCTTGCAGGGCGGAGCCGGGCGAGGCGAAGCGCAGCGCTTCGCCCGTGATCACCGCCCAATCGGTCTACGAGCTGGTGGAGAGCGTGCGCATCAACACCAACCTCTCGCATGAAATGTCCAGGATCGCGCTGGAGACGGTCGTCCATGGGCTGCACGAGCTGCTGCCCGCCTCCATCTTCCCCTACCTCAGGTGAGTCGAGCGCACCGCCCCCAGAGCCGCAGGCTCATCCTCTGGCCCGCAGCACCATCCTGTCGCACTCGCAGTCCTGCCTGGTGGTGGACGACGGCCAGATCGAGCAGACGCACGACGCCAGTCGCCTCAAGATCATCTTCACCGAACTGACCAGCTGCAAGGAGGACGCGCAGCAGCGCAGCTGGATGCTGCACGAGGACGAAACCGTCATCAAGGAGTACATCACGGAGCTGATCTCCATCCTGGTGGGCACCTGCGGGCCGCCGCCCCCCCTTCTCTATTTCTGGGGTTTCAGTCCAACGCCGACACCAGCATCTCCAGACACGTCATCTCCCTGGAGCAGTACCACGTGATCGGCACCCTCATCCAGTACTACCAGATGGAGGCGCGCTGGTCCATCCGGCAGCTGCTGCTGCAGGCCTTCGGCGTGCTGTGCAGCCTGGACAAGACCGTCATCAGCATCATGCTCACCTCGGTGCTGCCCAGCGAGCTGGCCAGGTAGGGCTGCGCCCCTGCTTTGCGCCCCGCCCCACAGTCACTGAGCGCGTTTCAGGGACATGCTGTCGAACCCGCGCAACATCCCCAAGCTCAACTACTCCTCCCTGCTGCTCACCATGGTGTTCTCCATGGGGGAGCCGATGCCGGTCACCAGTCAGGGTGAGCCTTCGGGGGGCRGAGCCCCCCAGTCACTAACCTGCCGGCTGCGTTCCAGACTACCTGGGCCAGGACTTTCTGCGGTTTGTGCTCGACAACATCGAGGCGCCCCCCGACACCGACCTGGACGAGCAGATCCCCGATCTCTTCCTCAACCTGCTCATCTCCTTCAACCTGCAGTTCGACGAGGAGACGCTGAACCCGCTCCTGGTGGCGCTGGACGAGCGCCAATCGGCCAAGGCCTTCAGCGAGAAGATCCTGCTGCTGCTCAACAGAGAGGGTGAGTGCGGCGCGGCCGCCCCCCATCCGGCTCAAGGCGGCGCTTGTTCGCAGAGGACCCGATCAGGATCTTCGACCATGAGCCGGCGCCGCCCCACTCGCTGCTCAAGCTGTTCAAGGACCTGTTCAGTCGACGCTCCACCTCCCAGCTGTTCTACACCAATGACAGCAAGGTGCTGATTGACATCATCGTGCGCAACATTGCCGACCTGTCGCCCGGCGACCAGGTACGCGCTGAAGGGAGAGGGAGCGCGTGTGGGCAACCCGCCAATTTTTCGTTTTTTGCAGCGCCGCCACGACTACCTGGAGCTGTGCAGGCGCGTGCTGCGCAACACCAACTACCACGAGCATCGCCATCGCAGCGAGGACATCCTCAAGTGCTTCACGCGCATCTTCTGCGAGGAGAGCGCGCTCAGCAAGCGCGACCAGTACCTGCTCAAGGAGATCTTCGCCGAGTTTCCGCAGTATTTCAAGTGAACCCTGATGGAGGTTTCCCATTTTTTCAAATTCCAGCGAAAAGACACCTTTTTAGCCATTACGTGATATTCTAGCATTTTCCAATATATATTTTTACGCGCTTTTTAACGAATCTTCCCCAGATTTACGGACTTTATTTCGCGCGCTAGTTAGGGCTGCTTTGCTTAGATGGCCGCCGCATGGTACAAATCAACTCAACACCTCACTATGTAGACAAACGTATTTTTGTCTAAGAAAGAACACTCAAAACAGAATATTTTGCAACGAAAAAGGCAGTTTCATTAAAATACGCATGCACCCGAATCATTTCCCATCGGGGACCCCCATAAGTTGTTGGTCGTTATCGACCTTGGGGCTGTTCGCCATCATCGCTTCCCTACTACTAGCGCCTGCCGCCAGGGGCGCTAAAGACGCCCGCGCAGCGGCGTTGTCACGACCGCACGAAAACAGCAAATCCAACAAAAAGTGAAACACTTACCAAATGAAGCAGGGGGCCAGCACGAAACCGGGAGGAAGCGCAGGCATGCTGCAACAAAAAAACAAGTTTAGCAAACCCTTGGAAATTCGGACAGAAAATTGCGCAAAGCTGGTCAACTGCAAATGCACCGCAGCAGTGTCCCCGAAGGAAAACCGATCCCTAGACGCGGCAACACGGTTTCCAGTCGCAAGCGCCGTCAAACTTGCCGGCATCTTCACCGTTAAAGTGGGGTTAACCGCACGTAAACAAACCCTCAAAGGGGCCCCAGTCCACTAGCGATGGAGGAGTTCAGGAAAATCAACTGGTAAGCGCGCGCCGAAGCCGTCAGGCACCGACGGGAATCAACCACTCACCACCCACACGCACAACAGGCGACTGCACGACCTGTCACTGCTCGAGCCCCAACCGGACTTCCTCAGCGAAGCGGTGCTGGCCGACTCGCTGCTGTACCGGCGGCTCGCCGAGCCGGCAGTGTTCCACCCCACCCGCCCCAAGCTGAAGGGGCTGTTCGCGCCCGTGCCGTACATCCCGGGGCCCGGCAAGGTACACACCTACGGCAAGCCGTCGCTGCTGGACGCGTGGACGCAGGACAAGTGCCTGCAGGCGCAGCAGCTGCTCAAGAGCGGAAAGGACCCGATCAGCTACACGAAAAGCGAGCAGTTCTACGTGGGGGTTTATCACGTGAGTGCGCCCGGGGGCCTCTTCGGACCTGTAACAGGTGCGCGTTTTGCAGGCGAACGTGGCGAAGATCCAGGAGGAGCAGGCCCGGTTCCAGAAGTACGCCCAGGCGCAGTGGGCGCGCTTCGCGGAGAAACGGGCGCAGCCCCAAGTGTTGGTGGACTTTGGCAGGGCGTGCTGGCTGTCCAGGTGGCAGCGCCTGCGGCGCTACCCGCGCTTTTACAGATCGCTGACCTCCACCCAGCTCAGCTTCAATGAGCTGGACAGCGAGGTGCAGTTCCAGTGCTGGACCAACGCCCTTGACCTGGTAAGACCCCCCTCATGGTAATGGGGATGATAATGAGGCAATCATCTGCAGGGGGCGCTGGCGCGCCTGTCCTGCCCGCTGCTCAAGAGCCCGCTGTTCCTCAAGCCCTCCGCCCTGCCGGGGGCCACAGCCCCCTCTCCGTCGGACCAGCCAGGTGAGTTCGGGGGGGTCGGGGGCCGTGTTTGGGCTGACGCCTCTCTGTTGCAGTGAGCGAGGACAGCAACGTGCCTCCATTGCTGGACGCGCACCCGCAGGTGGGGCTGGTGGCCTCCCTGGCCACCCTCCAGTGCCTGGCGGACTCGCAGGACCCCAAGCGGCGCTGGATGGTGCCGGTGGAGATCCGGGCGCGCGCCCACAAAACCGTGGCCTTCCTGGACGAGCCCTTCGAGGACTACGAAGTGTCCCCGTTGGACCTGACCGGGCGCAGCTACCAGGAGTTGCTGCGGACCCATTTGTGCCGGCAGCACGGCATCAGGTGAGCGGGGGGCGCAGCCCCAGACCGAACCCATCAACTGGGGGTTGCAGGTTTGCGCGCAGCGAAGCCCCGGACGAGCCGGGCGAGGGGCGCATCCACCACAATGTCTGCTACAAGGTGTGGAACGTGAAGAAGACCTGCTGCCAGGGGAACCTGATGAAAAGCAGCCACAAGCCGGTGGAGCTCAACGTGCTGGTGCGGGGGCGCATGGACGCATGCGAGGTACCAAAACCAATTCGTCTAAGTCATTTTTTGCAATAGGGGGGTTTCAGGTGGGCGCCAACGGCGCCCTGTGCCCAGTGGTGCTGCGCCCCCGGCTGGAAACCGAGCTGCATTACGGGGCGCAGCTCTCCAGCCAGAGCCAGCTGTGCAGGGAGTGGACGCAACTGTTCTTCACCCCCTTYTCCAGCCTCTGTCGCGGTAAGTCTGTTCAGTGTCTCAGTCTGCAAGGGCTAATCGGCGCTTTTCCAGTGCGGATCGCGCCCTCCAGCGGCGAGGTGATCGACGTGGAGCGCTGCAGCATCCAGGGGGTGGCCGCCGAGTCTCTGCGCGTCCACCAGCACAAGCCGCAGCTCGCCCTGGGCACGCTGCAGGCGGTGTTCGAGCGCGTGGCCGCGCTGGCGCCCGGCCGCTACTTGCTGCAGCACCTGCCCAAGCACCACACCTTCGTCGCGGTGCTGCAGCAGGCCGACGAGGGGTGCGTACCGCCGTTGAAGGCCGCTGCAGCTGCATGACTCAATCCGTTTCAGGGGCGACGCGTTCGACCTACACGCGGAAATGGACCACACCAAGACGAACGCGCCCCATGAGTGGACGCCGCTGGACCCCCACTTCCAGCTGCCGCAGTTCCGCGCGCTCAACCGCATGCCCTGCATGTTCACCCCGAAGCCCACCGCGCCCCCCAAACAGAACCCGTAGCAATTACAAAACGTTTTATTCTGGTTTTAGTGGTTTGCTTTTTAATCCAGATCATTAGCACAACGCTGGGGCCGATGAGAACCGGGGGCGGCGCCCCGCATCACTAGGCAGTAATAATAATGATAAATCACATTAAAACTATGTACATCGAACGATAAGATAAGACAGAAGGAGAACGCAGTCTGCGGCTGGTTTATTGAGGGCTTAGGACAGCTTTTTGGCCTTTTGGTAGAGCGTGTCCACCACCTTGCTCATGCTCTGGATCGTCTCCAGCGCCATCTCGTAGGTCTTGTCCACGGCCGTCTCCTCGAACACCACCAGAACACCTGCGGCACAGTGAGACGGTTGGAGGAGTGGGGATTGGGCGGTTTGGATTGGCTGCGCCCCATCGGGCTTCACTTTGCCTGACAGCACGATACAATGAATTCAAGGTGGGATATTTATCGGTCGAAATCGCACATGACGTCACTGGTTAGCATGTAACCTAGACAGATTTTCATTGAATTTTAAAAAATAATTAAATGTGCCATATTTAGTCACAGGAGAAAATCACGACACTCCGTGACTTCCACTGACGTCACCAAGACCCTACCTTGTATTCATTGTATCATGGCCTGACAGTGCGCGTCAAACAGTCACAAAGACAAGCTGTCAAGTGAAGCCCCCCCGAGACGCTCTAGAAACAATCACTCACCGTCGCCCTGATCCAGGATCCCGTGGAACTTCGCGTCCAAAATCATCTGGGAGAGTTTCTTCTCCACTTGGGGCATCGGCAGCTTGATGCTGGTGGCGATGTGGGCGACCTCGACGCGATTGTAGGGCTCGATGATCCTGCAGAGGTTCTGCTCGAGCATGTTGTCGTAGAGGGTGCCCAGATGGGCGCGCACAATCACGTCGTCCTCCAGCTCGCGCTTGAACTGCTTGACCGCCTGCTGGAAGTCGGCCAGCGAGCGCTTGTGCGAGGCCTGCGCCACCGCCTTCATGGCCTCGATGTCGCGGCCCGCATACTTGATCGCCAGCTTGCCGCTCACGATCTGAGGCACGTCCTCCGGACTGTTCAGCATGATCTTGCTCAGCAGCATGTACTTGAGGGCGGTGAGGGCGCGCGGCGCCTCCACACTGTCGAAGCCCTCGAACGCCTCGTAGAAGTACGAGTAGGCGGTCTTGAAGTCCTTTTCGTCGGCGGCGTGCAGGATGCCCGACTGCAGGTCGAGGGACGCCTGCACCTTCGGGGGGCAGTAGATTGCGTTGGCGGTGGTGCGGGCCGAGGTCAGCGCCGCCCTGGCTTTGGGCAGGTTGCTCAGCGCGTGGTAGGTTTTGCTCTCCAGCAGCTGCACCTCGACCAGCAGGTTCTTGTCGTCCAGCTTCTTCAGCTCCTTGAGCAGCGTGGAGCCGAGCTGCAGCGCCTCCGCGAACATGCCGGTGTCGAAGTAGAGGGCCACCAGGCGCGCCTCCAGCGACTGGCGCAAGAAGGTGCGCTTCTCCTCTTTGGCCCATTCGATGCACTCTTTGCACAGCTGCACCTCGATGCCGATGCCCGCCTCCAGGTCGAGGAAGAAGTCGACGAGCGATCGCACCAGCTTGGCGGCCTTCGCCTTGCTGATCTCGCTCAGGAAGGGCCGCGTTTGCTTGATCAGATCGGCCAGCTCCTTTGCCTTACCCTCTTTCTTGTATCGCTCGCCCAGGTTGAGGATGTCCTGCTCCTTGTTCTGGATCGCACGCTCCTCATCCTCCTCCTGCTCGGGCGTGCGTTTCGCATTCAGCAGCTTTTCCTGCTGAGAACGCACAGATTGGGACGTTTCAAACAACATTGCACCCGCCATAGTTCACGTTTGGATTCGCACTGTCATCATGACATGATCAGCACTTATGTCAAAACAATTGTGACACTTCACCTGTCCGACGTCGCGCGGTGTTGCCGCGCGATTTTTTCTGCAATTTCCCAGGGGCCAAAGCCCTATCGGGCCCTAACGGCGACTCCGGTTGGACAGTTGGGGACCTTTCCCTAATTTAACGCCTTTTTTGCCTCCGCTAGGAGAAATAGTGGGCTGCCAGGCCCCAATAAATTCCAACATTGCAAGGTTGCCAATGAGCGCGTGTTGCAAGATGAAGTCATAAATACGCCAACTTTTTATGCTATTAATTTTAACGAAACTAACAATTTCCACCAACCCAGGCAGATCGTTAAAAACAAACAGGAATCAAATGTTCCCACTTAAAAAAGTCACTTTTTCAAATAATTTGCATCAGTTGCAGCTCAAAAAAGTAACAATTACAAAGGAAATTAGTAACAATTGCTGACGCTTAAGTGGCGTCGCTGGGTCAGCAGCCCATTGATGCCGCACTTGCCGCAAATTACCGCTTGCCACTCAGCCAGGATCAAGCGCTTGTAGTTCGGACAAAATTCAACAGTTTTCGCATTAAAACAGATTTTTGTTTTTAAATTTTCCCAAAACCAACACTGTAGCACTGGTTTCAGGCCGAAATGTGTGAAAACTGAAAATTTGCAGCGGATGCACTCAACCCCAAGCAAACCGCGAGTTCCCAAACCGTAAACCATTAAGCAAAGCTCTACTCACCGGAAACTGGGCAAAGGAAAGACTTTTCAGCATTTTCTGGCAATTTTCTTCAGGCAAACCACTTCACCACACTGACAGGTCGCTGACAGCACAGGGTCCACGGGCGTGGTTGCCAATTTTCCGTGTCAATGGCCGGATCGTCTTCCTAACCTTCAACCTAACCTCCAACCTGTCATTGATTAATCTAAACAGTGGAAACGATGAGTGTGAAGGGGGACCTGGTGCAGCTGCTGAAGCCCTATTTCCTGGTCAACATCCTGCTGAGCCTCTCCTATGTGGTGCTGAAACGCGTGCCCGGCCTGTGCAACCACCTGTTCAGCACAGACGACTGCGAGTTCGATGGGGTAAGTGGGCGGTGGTGCCCCCGCATTGTCTGTAGCCTCTGGCGCTGCAGCGCGAGACGGAGATCCTGTTCTTCCTGCTGATTGTGGTGGTGATGCGCAGCCGGAAGTCCGGCAACGTGACCATGCTCAGCTACCTGTCCTCCAGCTTCATGTACACGAAGCTGGCCAATCTGATCCTCTGGTTCAACGCCGATTATCTGATGGGCATCGTCTATGCGGTGCTGTTCGTGCGTAAGTAGACGCGCTTAGAACCGGGCGTTGGTTGACACCGAGGGCGCGGTTGCAGTTGGGGCCCTGCTGGTGCCCGAGCCCGTCTACAGCAGCCCCGACCGCGTGGTCTACTTCCGGGGGCTGCAAGCGCTGACTGAGCAACTGCAGGCCGACCAGGCCACCTGGCTGGTGGCCTTCTACGCCGCCTGGAGCCCCGCATGCGTGAACTTCGCCCCTGTTTTCGCCAAACTGAGCAACGACTTCGGTGAGTGAAAGCTGCGCCCCGGGGGCCTTAATGCGAGCCCCGTTTGCTCAGGCGTGGCGGCGCTGAAGTTCGGCAAAATGGACGTGGGGCGCTACCCGGAGGCGGGCGCCCAGCACCGCGTCAGCGACAGCAGCCTGAGCAAGCAGCTGCCCACAGTGATCCTCTTCCAAGAGGGGCGCGAGGTGATGAGGCGCCCCGCCGCGGACGCCAGCGGCAAGCTGTCCAAGTTCCTGTTCTCCGAGGAGAACGTGCGGCTGGCCTTCGGCCTCAGCGGGCTTTACGAGCGCGCCCAGGGGGACAAGAAGCGCAATTAGAGCCGCCTAGTCCTAAAATAGTGTTTATTTATATTATAGTTAAGTAGCCAGCTTAAGTAAACCGCTGGAGGGCTTGAGGCAAAATATCACTTGTTGGGTTCCTTTGGCATGGCACCGCTAGGTCTGGTTCTGGTGGTACTGCGGCCGCCCGGCCAGCTCCAGCAGGTACCTGCAAGCACGCCAGTCAGACCCGTTCGGGTGGAACACTGGGGGGCGCAGCCCCACTCACCTGTCTGGATGGTCCAGCCAATCGGCGGCGCTCAGCTTCAGCGTGCGCTGCTTCTCCGCCTCCTTTACCTCCCACTTTTTCACCTCGAGCTGCCGCTCGCGCTGCACCTGGTCGCCGCAGCCCCACACCTCGATGGTCTGGATGTGCAGCGGGATCTTCTTCCACTCCATCTTCTCGAAGCCGGCGTCCACAGCGATGATGGGGCTGCGCGGGTCGGAGCCGGCGCGCAGCCCCTGCGGGTACCCGCGCACCGTCGTGTTCAGATAGAGCAGCTTGGTGCCCTTCTCCAGCAGCTGAAACCTGGCCAGGCGCGTCAGCCTCGAAAGAATCCAAAAAAGGGAGCCCCCCCTGCCACACTCACTTGGGGAGCAGCTGGAAGACGGCGGAGCCCTCGCCGCCCCAATAGTGGTGCGACTCCTTCCACTCGCAGGGCGACGTCACGCAGAACTTCTCGTTGTCGTCCGAGCGGAAGATCACCAGAGTGGGGCCTTTGTAGCCGAGCACGTGGTGCAGGAAGCGATTGGCGCCCAGGCCCTGCTCGTCCGAGTCGTACAGGAGCGCCCAATGGGACGGGATGGCGCACGCTATCTTGGACAGGAAGGCCATGCTGGCCAATCCGGTGCCGCTGCTGCTGGGCGAGCTCGCCCTCTGCGGCGTGGAGTAGATGGGCGGCAGCGCCCCCGCCAACAGCCACGACAGGCTCATGGTCAGCAGGTGGGGATGCGGATTGCCGTGCCCGAACGGGTTCGCCTCCTCCAGGACGGGCGTGGTCAGCTCCAGCCCTGATTGGTAGAACAAACTAGAATTATAACCCCGCCCTAATCCCCCCGGCATAGCTACCGACCCGAGCTCTCAGGGGGCGTGTCCTGATCAATGGTGCGCCACGCCGTGGCGATGGTGTGGACTGCATAGCGGTGGAGCGGCAGCAGGAGGCGGGCGGCGTTGTCGGCCAGCCAATGGGCGACGTACTGAGCTGAGAGGCTGGGCTTCAGGTAGAAGCAGCCGTCCACCACGGCCTTGAGCGTCTTGTTGATGGACAGGCACATTTGGGGCCCGCCCGAGTAGTGGTCCATGCTGACGTGGTAGGCGCACATCAGCAGCCCGGCGAAGCCCTCGGGCGTGATCACGTGGCCCCCTTTGGCGGCGTCAAAGCTCGCCCACATCCGCACCCACGTGTCCAGAATGGCCCCATCATCTAGAATCTGCCCGCACATTAAGCCCTGGTTGGTGCTGGGTGCCCCCACTCACCGCCAAGTACTTGTCGCACTGCTGCCGGAAAATGGGGGCAGGAAGGCAGGCGCTGGCGCTCCCGGCCTGCTCGACGAAGTGCTGGAACAGTCGCTCGGCCAGGTGAGGGTAGCGCGGGAACAAACAGCGCTGGAACACTGGCAACGTGACGCCGGGGGCGCCGTCCAGCTGTTGGGCCTTGTCGCTCAGGATCTGCAACCAGAGGGGCGCAATGGGGCGCGCTGCGCAGCCACTCCAGCACTCACCTTGGCCAGGCGTTCCACTGGCATCATCTGCACGAAGGGCTTGTCGGGGGCGTCGAGCCCCACTGACGAGTGCCGATGGAGGCTGCGGCGCGAGCCCTGCGACGTCGGCGTCTGCTCCCCCGACTTGAGGGCGTCGTGCCCGTGGTGGTTGCCCATTTTAGGCCCCTCAAAACAAACAAACCAAATCAACTGACTGGCGCTGTTTGACTGCTGTCAACCGGCCGCTGGTTGCCGATGCCCCCAAACCATCCCCCAATCTTAAGAAATTCCCGTCCATGACCGCCTGGCCTTGCCGGGCGTCCAGCCGCGAGCTGGCAGCGCCGCGGCGCTTGGACACCCGTTCATCGAAGCAGCAGCGTGGATTGTCCGAGTCAACAAGTTGCGGAGATGTCACTGATAAACACCATCAAAAAAGTGCGTGAAAGCGTGCGTGGCCCCGCCAGCAGGCGGTGAAAGGTCAGCGAAGCCCCCCCCTTCTGTTGGGCTAGTAGAAAACTTCGGACTTTATCTATGTCTGACAACAGCAATGACTCGTCCGATGAACGTGCTGCAGGACTTCAAGCAAGGGGGCCCCCTAGATTTGTACAGGGGGCGCGCCCGGTTCGACTGGAAGGCTTTGAAGCTGGCCCTGGAGACGCCCGAGGTGGTGGACTATCAGGTATTATAAGTCTTGGATCGAATAGCCCCGTCAAACTGACCTAACCTCACTGTTTAAAGAACCAGCTCTATGCAGAGCTGCAGCGCCATGAGGAGTATCAGGCCGAGGGCCTGCCGTCGGCCTCCTTTGACGAGCAGCGGCGGCGCGCCTGCCGCCAGAGCCTCACCTACAAGTCCATCGAGCTGCTCTCCATCGGCTACCAGCTGCAGAACCTCAAGTTCCCGTTCATGGCCACCACTGTGATGATGCAGCTGGCGCCTGCCTCCACCATCAAGTTCAATGTGGCCCACACGCTCTTCACGGACGCGATCCGGACGCTGGGCACGGGGCGACACGCCCACTTCCTGCAGCAGGCCGAGGAGGGCGTGGTGAGTGCCCCCTTTAGCCGCCACGTGAAGCAATCTAACCCCGCCCCTTTGCAGATCAGCGGCTGCTACTGCCTGACAGAGATAGCGCACGGCAGCAATGTGAAGGCGATGCGGACCAGCGCGGTGTTCGACAAGGACAAGCAGTGCTTCGTGCTGAACAGTGAGGGATTTGAGGCGGCCAAGTGCTGGGCGGGGGGGCTGGGCCAGGTGGCCACCCACGCCATCGTCTACGCCCAGCTGCGCAGCAAGCAGCAGCTGCACGGGCTGCACTGTTTCGTGGTGCCCATCCGGGACCCGCGCACGCTCCTCCCATTCCCCGGGCTCCTCGTCGGCGACATGGGGGAGAAGATCGGCCTCAATGGCATCGACAACGGGTAAGCCCCCCATCTCCAACTCCCGCAATCGACTCAACCGTCCCTTTGGGCAGGTTCGTGCTGTTCCAGAACTACGAAATCCCCAAGGAGAACCTGCTGAACAAGCTGGGCGATGTGACCGAGCAGGGCGACTACGTCACCCCGTTCAAGGACCCGAGCAAGCGCCACGGGGCGGCTCTGGGCGCCCTATCGGGGGGGCGCGTGGTCATCACGGGGATTTGTGCGGCCTACGGCGTCAAAGCCCTCACCATAGCGGTGCGCTACGCGGCCGTACGCAAGCAGTTCGGGCCCAGCGAGCAGGGCCCCGAAGTCCCCATTCTGGAGTACCAGACCCATGTGAGTGCGTCAGGCCCCTTGCGCAGTGCCAGGGCTCTAATCAGGTCCCCCGCAGCAATACCGGCTGTTGCCCCACTTGGCGTGCGCCTACCTGCTGCGGACCTTCGCAATGTGGCTGTCCGAGACCTTCTTCCAGTTCTCGGTGGACTCAGCGCTGGGCCACAATAAGGAGCGCCTGCCGGAGCTGGGCGCTGAGTTGCACGCAATTTCTTCGGCCAGCAAGCCGCTGGCGGGCTGGAGCATGCGGGACGCCATCCAGGAGTGCCGCGAGGCCTGTGGGGGGCATGGATACTTGAAAGGTACTCACTCTCACTCGCTACTCTTTACTGGCTATTCTGCTGACAACCGAGTCCAAAAGCGCGACGCTCTGATGCTCAACGTCGCCGATTTTGTACGTTTTTCTGATCGCCGCCACGTCGCTGAGCCCGGCCAGCTGCGAAATGTGGACGGCGCAGCCCTGCACCCGGGCAAAGGCCTCGTCCGCGTCCTCGAAGCCGGGGCCCCGCAGGGCCGCCACCAGCACACTGTCGCTGCCGTCTTCGATGCCGAACTTCACCAAGCTCTGGCTGATGTTGGTGGAGGGCGACAGGTTGAACAGGATCTCGGTGAAGGGGCCTTTGGTCGTCCGCTTGCGGCTGCTGCTCAGCGCCTTGTTCGCTGCCACTGCCACCTGCAGCGGCGCCACAATCAGCTGCGGCTTGATGAGGCAGCACTGCAGCTGGCCGCCCATCAGCAGGGCCCGCAGCTCCCGGGCGTTGCGCACGTTTTCGTACAGCTGCATCTTGAGGCTGGTCTCGGGCCGCGCGTCCAGCCCCAATTCGAACCACATCGCCTGAGGCTGGTTGAGCATCTGAAACGCACTAGGGGGGCGACTTTTGTGGTCGTTCCACTGGTTACCAAAGAGGGTTGTTGTTGTTGTTGACGTTGGTTGTCGCTTTTTCATAGGTTATGTGCTGCGGTGGGCATGTAATTCACCTTCTCTCTTTGGTAAAATTGATTGCGAACAGCGACCACGCCCGCGGTACATCCGGCAACGTAGGCAGTCGCGTCAACGGGACAATTCGAATAATGGGGCCCCCTTTCAGTGGCCGGTTTGGGCGACATTCGGAACGACCACGACGCCAACATGACCTACGAGGGGGAGAACCACGTGCTGATCCAGCAGACCAGCAACTGGCTGCTGAAGTTCTGGCCGCTGGTGGAGCGCCAGCAGCCGATCGCCACCCCCTTGCGGTCCGCCGATTTTCTGTCCAGAGGCCTGGAGATTCTGCGGGGCGCCCGAATCAAGGCCCGGACGGTGGCGGAGTTGTGCGAGCCCGACGCCATCATCCCCATCTACCAGTGGCTGGTGTGCCACCTGCTGCAGACCACCCATGACAAGCTGGCCGCTGAAGGGGCCAAGGGGGCGTTCTGGGGCAGGAACAACTGCCAGGTGTTCAGGGCCAAGAGCCTGGGCGTTGCCTTCATTCAGGTGAGTGTCGTTGAGTGCGCTCGATGGGCCCCATTTTAGTTGTGGTTTGCAGCACTTCGTGCTGCAAGTGATGCTGGAGAAGATCGAGCAGCAGTCGGATGCGGAGATTCGGGCGGTGCTGCGCCAGCTGTTCAGCCTGCAGGCGCTGTTCTGGCTCGAGAAGCTACACATGGCCACCATTTATCAGGGCGGGCTGGCCCAGGGCGGCGCCACGGCCACCCTTATCCAGGACGCCGTTTTGGAGCTGTGCGCCCAGCTGAAGGACCAGGCAGTGGCGCTGGTGGACGCCGTCGCCCCCCCGGACTTTGTGCTCAACTCCCCGCTGGGAGCCTCCGATGGCCAGGTCTACAAGCATCTGCAGGCGGCGCTGCTGAGCGCCCCATTCGCCCTCAGTCGCCCCGCTTGGTGGCAGGACATCGCCACTTGGAAGAGTAAACTGTGAGTGTTTCATTCCTGTTCTGTTCTGTTAGTTTTTTTGTTGAGTTGAGACGTTTTTTTTTTTAATATACGGCCTCCTGGGCAACGTTGCCAAATTAAGTTTTTTAAATCAATCATCTTGCTTGTTCTTTGTGCAAAAGTTCTTTTGAAAACCACTTAAAAAAATCGGTCAACGGAAATTTAGAGACAATAAATCATCTACTGTTTTATATTTAAATCTACCGTTTTTCCTCCATCCA